CGAGGATCTTCCACAATCGCATTGATTTTTTTCATAATAAATACATTGAAATCTATCATTTTTTTTTATTTTTTAGCCGTAGTTGCAAAATACGACGCACGAGCGTGATATAGTTATATATTATTACATTCGGAAAGCTTAAGAAAAGAGATTTAAGTTAAAAAAAATCGACAAGATCCGTTGAAAAACAACGGAATTACAAACTGTCAAATATATTATTTTCAAGCGAATTTCGCTTATTTTACGGCAGGACTATGAATATTACCGTAATTTTCTACGGACTCGCTGTCGTTCGCTACCCCCACCCTTCCGCCGCGCCACGGCTCGTTTAAAATCAAGCGACCCATTGGCTTTTGACAATATTTCTTATGCACTTAGCATACTTCCACAAATAAAATATTTTTACCTATGAGCTTTCATAGGTAACCGGGTTGACGGTTATGACGGCGGTTTTTTTTTGCCGCTACCAACCTAATTTGTTTAACAATAGGCCGTCAACTTTGACAGTCTGTAACTCCGTTGTTTTTCAACGAATCTTGACGATTTTTTTTTAACTTAAAGCTCTCCTCATAAGCTTTCCGAATATGAATAATATATAACTATATCCCGCTCGTGCGTCGTATATTTCATTTTGCAAAGAAGGCTAAAAAATAAAAAAAATTCCAGGTTGCAAATTTGAAATAAAAAAAAATTATAGATTTCAATGTACTATTATGAAATCTATCATGAAAAAAATCAGTGCGATTGTGGAAGATCCTAGTTAATTTGTTTATAAGGCCATAACTTGTAAACTATTCAACTTACCGATTCCAGATTTCGTGTGAGTCATTAGACAGTGATAAGGAATGAGTGTATGCGATGCCAAAACGTTCTGGTAATAATGCAGTTTATAAATGTTTAATTCAAAAGTCATAAATAAACTTTTTCTGTTTATAACTTTTGATCTAATCAATATTTTTTGACGCTCGAATGCTAATTTTGTAGATCTTTTGATGACGAAAAAAAATGTACATTACTGTTTACTCGTGGAAATGAACGGAAAAAGTTATAAGCGAAAAACGTGAATTTACGTAAAAATTATAGAATTAACCACCCTGTAAACAATTTTTCCCCCATCTTTATGACTGTGGAAAGTAATATGTTATTGTACATAATATTCAGCATCTATAGTGATAAATTCAGCATGCCGAAACAAAAAGTCGCGAAATGGTCATTTCCCAACCTATTTTCCTGGCCTAAGTAACCTACATAGTTAGAATTCGTCGTCATATAATTGTGCTAAAAATGGTTCTAAAATAAAGGTTCCATATCTATCAGCATTTATAGAAAAATATTCTTGATATCGCTACCCAAACACCACCATGTTTCGTCAGTGAAAAATTTCAATGTTTCAATTCATGTTTTCTATAAACCACCAACGCGAAGGAAACAAAATTACCGTTTTAAACAAAATTTTTAGTCTAGTGGATTGTAATCTGGAATGGTCCGTACATATTATAAACATATCTTAAACAAAATATTTACATATTTAAATATTTTTGAAGTGGGTAGATTTAGAATGTGGGAAAAAACTTTTGTGCTCATTTTGAAGTATACCCTAAACCAGGGGTCGGTAACCTTTTTTGGCTGCGGGTTAAAATCAACCATAGTCTGAATATTAAAGGGACGTTTGGGTCAGAGTTATTTTCATTTTAAAACAGTCTTTTAGTGAATAATAAGATACATTTTATTAAGAAAATAATTACGATACGCTTTTAAACTTTAATTATTATTATAAGAACTAATAAAATTCTAATTATTATAAAAAGAAACATTTAGCAGTTACCTAAGTGAAATAATTATTATTATTTAAAAAAAATATTGCCATGAACAAACAAAAAGCAAAAAAGAGGTTATTTCAAGATTGACGTGCGTTATTCTCAAAATATTCGTTTCATGTTTATGTTTTATAATTTATTTTTATATATTATACTTTTTTTAGGAAATAAAGTGGGTCACTTGAAATTAGTAAATGGGTCACTCGGTGTCCTGCGGGTCATAGGTTGCCGACCCCTGCCCTAAACCCTTACAAACTGGTTTGTAAAGGGGAGCACGTGCAAAATTAACTCGTGCTTCATGATACAAACCGGTTTATGCGAACACGCGCGCGGTAAAGCCTGCACTTGTGTGGTCATCACATAATCAACATAACGTCGCTCATATAAGAACAGCCTGCCATGAACATATATTAATGGGTTTTCAGCACTAGAACATAAACATCGGAAGTGCTTGTAAACAGTGCAGTTGTAATTAATAAGAGATCATTCAATTATACCCTTGAAAATACTTGTTTAATAATATTGATGTATTTATACGAGATTAGTAAGCAATATCTGTAACTGACAGAATTCCATGGTGAAATTTCGCACTTCGCTTTAGACAAGACGAGAACCCCGCATTCGTGGGAGAAATTTTCCGGCTCGATTTTTTTGCATATTTAGATTCGTGAGATGTTCCTTAACATGAATCGACATGATGCCGGCCGGAAATCTGGTGCGCATTTGTTTAAACAAACTTTTTTTCAAGAAATTATAAAAATTGGTTTTTTCACTCTTTCACTTTTCAATTTTTTTAGTTTTTTGGCACATTATAAACAAAAAAGTTCCTATGCACTATCTCTAAAATTGATAGTTTTAAAGTTATAAACAATTTAAGTTGCTAAAAATGCCAAAATGACGATTTTTAACGACCGATTTCCGGGTTAAAAATTGTTATTTTTAATGTTGCCAGGTACCTAAATTAAAGAGTTTTTGGGACTCGCATTATTCTAAAGCCTTGTTTTTTAATTGTTAATAAAGCGCTATGACGAAAAAACTATCGAGTTTTTCTTTTAGTAGGTGTCCTAGACTAGAAAAGAAAGTTTACATTTTTTAGAGTAGATTGAAATAGAAAATTATAAAATTCATTCATTTTTCTACGTGTTATGATTTTTTAAATTTCTGAAATCATCCCTTTACTTCTAGCCGTCCTAACTCTGTTAATTTTAATAGTACAAGAAAAAGTCAATTGACTAATAGAATGGTGTTGTTCGCGCAAAAAAATTGACTGGCGGTAAAAAATATTTGAGAGAAATCTAAAAAACATGGAGATTAATTATTCTCTTGACGTTCTTGTAATAATCAAATAATATTATTGATTCGAAAGATGCTACTAGTAGCCCAGGGATATGAGGAAAATGCCGTGACTGTTGAGTAGCCAAGGATGTGTAAAGTTTTTCATAAAATTTTGATGTATTTTAATATAATATGTGCAAAACCCACACACCATCAGGTGAGGTTTTTTAATAATTAACAATAAAAGGTCTAAAGTAACCCAAAATATCACTTTTTTGCCTAAAGGAAAAAACGATAATTTTTATTATAATGTGAAAGTAACCAACTTGTAGTTAATAAAAAAACCTTTAAAATGGCGGTTTTTAAAATCCGATACGATAATTTGTTACTCGGGGAATTGCAAAAAACTGTCAAAATTCGATTATTACTAAATAAACAATACGTTTTGCAAAAGTCAATCTACGATTTTCATATTGCATAAATAGTTGGCTTTTTTAGTCCTTAATATGTGATTAAAATTTCAGACCGATTCATCCAATAGTTTTTGCAGAATTCTAAATGTTTATCCCGGAGACATAATTTTTGCAACTTGACACGTAAAATTACCAAGATATTTTAATTCTGCGGGTATCATAAATGAAAGAGAAATACTTCTTTTATTGGAAATTATTTTATTGCAAAAAAATAGTTTTTTTACCACTGCAAAAACGTACCACAAAAACACTGTAATTTTTGTCTTATAAACAATTAGAATAAATTTGTTGCTATTATATTTAGAGAGATTATTTTTCCATATTCGTAAAGCTGGTATTTTTACACAAATTAAAAAAAAAAGTTAAACACTTTTTTTTTAAATCACAGCTACTTTGTTTGTAACAATTAAGACTTCTAATAAGTGCCATTTTCAAGTGAAGTGCCAAGTTTCTATGTGAAATTTTTGAGGACAATAGCTTTGTAACAGCATCTCTGATTGTGAGAATGCTCCAAATAATGACTTCGATACAAGATGACTGTGTCAGTGGAGGGGGAACCTACAAATCCACGAGCAAATTGATAGAGATTGAGAGAGTTATATCTCTGGAAATTGTTGACCGATTTTGATGTTTTAATTTGGGTTACCTTCTTGCGTACATCACAAATATGCGTTTTGTTAATAATTAAAAATTTAAATTAATCGAATTTTGTCAGTTTTCTGCAATTTCCCGAGCAACAAATTATCATATCGGATTTTAATAACCGCCATTTTAAAAGTTTTTTTATTCCCTACAAGTTGGTTACTTTCACATTATAATAAAAACTATCGTTTTTTTCTGGTAGCCAAAAAAGTGATATTTCGGGTTATTTTAGACCTTTTATTGTTAATTATTAAAAAACCTCACCTGATGGTATGTGGGTTTTGCACATATTATACTAAAATTCACCAAAATTTTATGAAAAACTTTACAGATTCTTGGCTACTCCACAGTTACCACCAGGTCATTTATTTTCCTCATATCCCTGAACTATAGGTACTTTATTTTTTATTTAAATTAGTTGAAACTAACCGAAATATTTCTAATAGGAAAAACAGAAATCTAGCCTTCAAAAAAAAAATTTGCAATTTGTTTTTAGTTGATAGTACCAACCATGCAATTTTGGCTATAATATGTATCCGTTATGTGAAACAACTGCTTAAATTCCTTTTCAAGTAAGTCTGATAGTAAATTTTGTTATTTCCATCGAAATCAGTTTCCCTGTAATGATAAGAAGTTTGCTAACGAGGGAATTAATAAAACAGCGTTTTTTTCACTCTAAACATTGGAAAAGATAACCTATCATGGTAAAAAAATAAATTTAGCAGAAGCATCTTACGATTATAAATATTTCCCGTAACATAAACACATCGCTAGCTTACTACTAAGAACAAGGTTACTGAGGCTGTTAAATAGTCGGGCAACATTGATAAGAACTACCAATAAATGAAACAGTTTTATTATTCTATTTATTACAATATCGAATCGTTCATAAGTGCATGCGAGATTAGAGAGTAAATTTGTAGTATAATAAACCGTGTGGTGTCTGGTCTTAACTATAAACGGTGAGTACCTACCTTCTATCCTTACCAATATAATATTTATAATTTAATTACGTAGTTGTTGCTAGGAAGCACCTTGTACAAAATAGCAGATATAACACTAGATACATTTTCAGGCAAAGAAATTCACCGCCATGGGTAGCAATCATACCGAATACGTAGAAGACCCTTTTGGAGACCTTGATGAAGAATATTTAAAATATTTTGACAGAGAACCTGTATATTTGGCACTGAGCTATGTAGTGCTGGTAACAAGCATAGTGAAGATTATTTTGTGTTTGTGCGTGATTGTTGTAGATATCTTACTGATATACGTTATAACCAAATTTAAGAGACTTCAATCAACGGTGAACGGTTACATAAAACACTACGCTATATTCAATATATTATATCTTGCGGCTAGTTCCTTAGTATACATCACTTCTACCTATTTCTGTTTAGGGTTCCAAATTGATTATGCAAGTCTGCTGTTCAGTTTCCTGTTCGCGTTTGCTCTTGGTCTCGATTGGCTGGTGATGACCTTCAAACCCGAGTTAGGACTGAAAATTAAAAACGGTTACAAGCACCTCACCCTCTCAATATACATTTTAGGCTGTGTAAAGTTCTTAGTGGGGTCCGGTTTATGTTTTACTGTACATTCCAGTTTCCATGTCGCAGAGAGTACTACCTTAACAGTAATTTATATTTCAATTCTACTGTTCCTTTTAGTGCTGGACTGTTTGAATTTCAGACACAGAAGCTCGATAAGACCTACGAAAACAGTGTACTCGTTGACCGTAGCTAATATTATCGTACTATTTTGGTTGCCAATGTTTGTTTACCGTATCTGGCACAAAATACAAACTTACGAGGAAGTTACCGAGTTGATATTTTGGTATACAGAGTTCATCCCAGAATTGATTAGCTCTAGTATTTCTATCGTTATTCTCGTGGTATTAGTGAGGGCGAATAAAAATTTTAGGATGGCGTTCGCGAAAATATTTAAAAGATCCGTTAGGCATTACAGCAACGAAGGTGAAAATTTAGACGAGTCCGATGACGAGACTACTTATCCTCGAGTTGATTCAAACGTGTTTTATCACAATGCAACCACGTGTGTTAAAATTTGATTATTTTGCTGATGTCGATAGGAAATATGTTGTATACGCTTTTCCTTTAACAATTTAAATTAAGTCTATTTAATAAAATTTTGTCCAGATACCTACGTTGTTGTTTTTATTTCACTTTGATAAATATTTATGCCATATGTTCTTCATTATCATGGGAATGTAATTTATATTTATGGGATAAATTTGTTGATATACTGCAAATTTACTTTGTTTTTCAATGAAAAAATTGATGCTATTTGAATATATCTGGCGAATAACCGTCTCAACAAAGAATCATCTTAGAGGGGCATTTTAATCAATTTATTTTTCATTTACAGAAGAAACGGCCACTATACTGACGGTAATATTTTTGTTTATATAAGAAATGCCTCAGTTCTGAACTCCTTAACGTATGTACCATTTTACGACTGTAAACTGCAATTGTGTAGGTTTCACACAATTCATTAAATTAACGAATAAGGCCGTGACAAATTTAGTACGACTTGCAGTTAGATATAGGATGTCTTGGTGTTTGTGTAATTCTGGGTAAGTACAATCTTTTAACTACAATAAACGAAATATGCAGTCTGAGTGTTCTTTTGCGGTAACAGCCCTTACATATAAGAAGGTAGGGTAAAGTAAAGAAATTAAATATAAGAACTGCAAGTGATGGTCAATAACAGTAACAATACGAATTTTTTATTAATGACATTAATGACAATTATTTCTCATTAATAACCCACCCTTAAAAAAATAACCACGCGTGATTCTCTGAGCCTACTTTATTTAAGGGGCTGTTGACACGAAAAATAAGACTCACTGTATGTGCCTAATAACATTAGAACAATACTATTTTTAAACAATAATAACACAGGCAACCATTTTTTTTTTTAAATTGCATGTATCGCATTGTAGCATAGCGTCAGAACGACAATAATTCTAGAACTCGCTCTAATGAAAACGCGGCGATGCCGAAAATTTTCGAAGAGGAAAAGTTTGCTAATATTTCAAAGACCGTTGACGAGTATATGACTTATTATATAAAAAAATTATTAGAATTAAGCGAATAATCAATAAATTAATTCAGTTATAGGGTGTCTTATTTAAAAAAGTATACTTTTTGATCTACTCTGTGTACTAATATGCAGTGGCGGCCCTGATAATTTCAGAAAAATAAAAGAAAAATGTATATACATATACCAAAGTAATTTGCCGTAATTCTTATAAAATTAAATCTAAACTGCATTACCTTCTTTGAAACTCCCGCTGCCAAATTTTAAAATTATATTTTATCCACGACTATTGTATAATGTACCCATTATACGTCTGTTTGCTCGACCTTAATAATACCCATTAATCACGGCAGTGATTAATGAGTCATTAATCACTACTGTCAGATGCTTCCTTAATTTAGCTATAATATTATATTGTTCTGCTACAAACAATCCGTTTTTAAAATTTTATCGTGTAAACCACTAAATATTTTCAATTCAGTGCTGTACATATAAAAAAAAAATTAAAAAAGTGAATTTTCCTAGACCGGATTCGAACCCGGGACCCGCGGTTGGAAGGGAAAGAGCATCTACACTGAGCCATCAGCGACTTCATTTGTGCGAGTCGTATATCTGTTTCTTAACATACCATGTTTTTCGAAACATTTCAAAAAAAACTTCAACAAAAATATTTAGTAGTCGTGGATAAAGTATAGTATTCTACTCCCGTATAATGGGTATTATTCACTCGGTGATTTAGGCCACTCGCCTGCGGCTCGTGGCCGTAAACTTCACCTCGTGAATAATACCCATCATTATACGCTCGTTGAATAATATACTATTAT